GATTCAAGAGAATGGTCCTTGAAGGCTCTTAGAAATGCTTTCAGTTGGATCCCTGTGCATTGCCTTCCCTACTATTGGCTTCCGTTCTTCACTTCCTTTCACTTCAATGCTAAAATAATATAATTGGGAATCTCTTCAGGTATCTGGCCTCATGGCTAGAACCACCTCACCTAGCCTTGCTGCAGGGAGAGAGGAGAGGCGGGGAGGGCTGACAGAGCCTAGGATTTTCATTTTACTTGGATGGTCCCTAACCAAGAATTGCTGATGTGGTACTCTGAAAGTCCCCCCACCCCCGAGAGACAGCAACACTTGTGGTATTGGGTGAAGGCTGACATTTGGCTGTACCATGTCCTGCTTCTTCCAGTTCCCATCCTTTCCTGATGTGAACTGGTCAGCTTGGGAGTCCCTGATTCAGTGTCTGCTTCTGAGAGAGCCTAACATAATACAGACAATTTTGGTGATTGAAGCACTCCTGTTTGATCCAAAAGAATCTAGAATTAAGACTGGCTACTCTTGTTTAGATGATAGATGAGAGAAACTTGAATACCTCCTTCCAGTTTGATGGAGTAAGGCCTGGAAACACGGATGCATTTTATTCCTTGCAAAGGCAGTGTTACGGGACTGATAAGGGTAGTTTCCAGCAATGCAAATCCAGGATTAGATACGGGAAGACTCTGAGAAGTCAGTGCAGCCACTCATCGCATGCTTAACCATGTTCTCGATGCTATGCAAAATGGTTTTGGTGGCTCTACTCATTTCATTCTCACAAGAAATCAATAAAATCAATAAAATGAAATGCTCCACTGTAAGGATGGAGAAACCCAAGCAAGGAGCATGCTGTTAGCTTGGGTAATTCTTCAGTTCATAGGTGAATCCATCTAGTTCGGAAGCAAGATGCTGAGGACCACCTGCGAAGCCTTTGAGTCAGCTTTCCGATCAGTTGGGTTTGTCACCCAGGAGCAAATTCCTCTCTGCCTGCTCCTAAACTGCCACTGGACACAGACAGAACTCAGTCGTGCCAGGAATGCAGCCTGGAGGAGTGTGCTGTGCTCCACTGGAGCTCAGAGGAGCTCTGCCTGCGCCTTGTCTTGCACGGGGAGGGGTGAAGGTGAAGGCTGTCTTTCACGGACGCTCTGAGAACAAAGCTCTCCTGAGATTGCACAGGGGAGTCCCGCAAAGCATTTCCAAAGCTCCACTGGAACTAGACAACCTTTCAATCCATTTATCAAAGTGTCTGCAGTTTCTGTTTCAAGGTAGATGAAGCAATAATAAATTTGCAAAGAAAGTTAATCTGTGTCCAAAGCATTTTAGTAAATTAAATAGGCGGGGTGAGGGGGTGGCTGCTGGGGGATATATTGGTTCTTGCCAACTCCTATTTGACTTACTGTCTCCTTAATAAGTCCTCTTTGATCTTGTGTTTTTGGATGGAATAATCAGTCAGTTAATCATTTTCCGGAAGCTGAGAAATGCACTTTAGCTAATGCAAGTCTCCTTTTCTTTTGGAGCCCTAATTATTTCAAAAAGTGTCATGATTCTCAGCTACTTCCTCACCAACAAAAGCCTTTCCCACCAGCGCTTGTATTGTATTTCTCCAGGAAAAAAGAAAAAATCACCAAGCCCCTCACCCTGTGTCAGCTTTATACCTTTTTCTTTATTATTATATTTTTAATGTTCCTTTTCTGGTCACTTCCTTCCAGTCCTTTCCAGTAGTGTTCCTTATGAGGCGTAGAGGACTAAACCCCAACAAGCAATTGACTAGAACTGGGCTCGCTGCATCATGGATAGATTTTGTTATTTTTACCAGAAATGGTGGCTCTTGTGTCTCTCAAGGATCACACTCAACAATAGCTCCGAGCTTGGGCAGCCCGCTGAGATAAACACACCATTAGGAACCCTGACAAAGGCCCTGCAATAATTGTGAAGGGATGGTTACCGAAAATGAAGCACCCAGCCCTGAACCCTCCTCCACGCCCCATCAGTAACACCATTAAAGCTGTCAGTTTGTCAGCCTACCAGAAGTATTTATGAAATCAATATACAATCCTGCAGATGGATGGCCATGGCTATTGTTAGCCAGAGAAGAGAGGCTCAATGGAAAATAAAATTAATAAAATTTACAAGCAGATTGTCATTGGGAACAGATAAATTCCCTCCAATCTAGTGTTTGACTCAATGGAGACAGGGGGGAAAGCAATGGCAAAGGAGGTACAAAGAAAGCTATGCTTTAAATAGGCTTTTTAAACTAGGAGGCAAGCTAGGTAAATTCCCCGCAGGAGAAGAATGAACAGGACTGGGAGTGGCTGTCCCATCCAAAAGCGTGATTTTGCCCCCATGACTGCACATGGGGGCATTTCCCAGCACCACCGCTGGACTGACCTGCTTCGACATTGCTCTGCTCTCATGAGGGAAGAGAACCAGAACTTGTATTACCACTCTTCGCTTCCTTCCCACACATTTCAAGTTGCCATCCCCCTGCCAGAGTTCAGCATTACTGGAACATGTGCCCCATTCGTCCCGCTTCTGTTGTAATGGCTGGCAGCTCTCAGCCTCGCTCCTGCTTGGTCCCTTGGCCCCAGATTTCATCATCAGCCGTGTGTCACATGCAGAGCCAGAGCCAGAGCTGCTCTTCACAGAAATAGCAGAAATCGTCTCCGAGCCTGGGAGGGTGGTGGGCAGCAGCTTGGCAGTCTGGAGAGCCGTCTTGGCTGGGCACAAAAGACTGGGCTCATTGTGACTACAGCCCAGATGCCTGGTAGAAATTGCATTAGTTGGATGACAGGACCCTGGCCCTTTTTCCAGAGGCTGATGGAGAGCAGCTGAGTGGCCTTGATGACACTGCCTGACCCCGGCTGTCATCGTGGGCTTTGTTCAGCGTCCCAACTCCAGGCTGGAGCCCCGCTCATTGAATCAGGCCTGGTTGGTGGCGGGACGGGGAGCCTGCTGTGGGGCTCACTGTGCATCTAAATTTGTTTACATCAGTTGTAGACAGAAGAAAGTGGATGTGGCATGGGGCAGTACCTTTTATTCAGCTCAGAAGCCATGGGGCTCACACCTGCACCCTGTTCTGATGCTAAGCCTAGCTTTACAGCCTAAATGTGGCTCCCAGATATTTCCCAGACATCCTAACTTTTACCCGGTCCCTCCCCCCACCGCCAGAGCATTCAGCGTATCTCAGCAGGTGGGAATACAAAATGGCTGCCTGTCTTCTGCCACCTTGGCAACTACTCATATAGACTTGCCTTGAGTTTTAGGGGAAGGTGATGAGTGGGGCTGTCCTTGTAAGCAGCTTTTATTTCAACGCCCTCAGAACAACCATGTGGGAGCATCTATAATGCAGTCATTTTGGGGAACACCTCTGCACCTGCCATCGGCAAGTTCTCACATGGACTTGTGCCAAGGAAATTGTAGGATGCAAGTCTCTAAAATATATGGGTGGTCGTGGCCGCCCTAGTGTTTCTTTAAATTGCTGATAAATAAATGCTTGCCCAATCATTTGGAATCCTATCGCCATCACAATTTGGTGCTATGCAGCTCTTAAAAATGTTGGCATAGATGTGAGGTCAATGACAGGACAGATGTTCTCAATACCATAGGCAAAAAGGGAGGTTGTAATAGATTGTCATTTGTAATATAATATATGTAATATAATGTCATATTGGTGAAATTTGTTTGTTGCTCCTAATAAGTACCAGTGGTGATGTCTGAGTTATTTTCTTGATTGACCTGAACACTTGAGGGTTTTCTGTGTATTCTTTTCAAAATTAAGGAATGTATATTCACATGGATGAAGCTCCTTTAAAATTTATGGAAGATGGATTTTAAAAACTAAGTGGATGTGGGGGCAAACGATATTGAAATGAATGCATTTGGGGGAATCGTCCAGGAGTTTGTGAGAAACCATGCTGTGCAAAAAGCACAAATTTCAAAGATATATGTGGCATTCAAAAAAAAAAAAAAAGCATTGCCCTTAATTGTATCTTCCCATGAACTTTGTAAGTTTCTTGTTGTCGTATATTCATCCATCCTTTCTATCTGAACGAGGAGCTGACTGTGCCTCCAGGCTCATCTGTGCAACGGCCCCTTCACGCCACAATTCTTGGAGATGTTTCTGGAATGTGAGGCTATGCAGTCTGGGCTGAGCTTCCAGATAGTGCAGGGCAGGACACCGTGGTTAGACACAGGAGGCCCTGCTTGCCTTTGCCAGTGGGTTATTCACAGATCCAGGCAGGATCAAGCTCTGAATGAAATCAGGCTCCTGGGTTTGGCCTTGCAAATAAAAAAAAAAAGGAAAATAAAACCAGAAATGGCATTGTTATTGTGAAGAGAAACCGAGGCATTGGGAATGCTTGGACTCTGAAACAAGACTTGGGTTTCAACCAACAATGGGACTTTATCCCGTAACCTTCCTTATGGCAGCGGATTAGGGGCAAGGTGGTTAACCCTCATTTTGAAAGTGTTTCTGGACATTCATTTTCAATGCTTTGTGCCCAACTTGGGAAAACCCAGGATTAAGTTGAAGTGCTCACTCCGTCACAAAATCAGATGGCCAGATTCTGTTCCCATCCTGGATGACAAGGACAGAGAGCCCTGAGCAGCCAGGGCAGCCCTCCAGAGACATGCCATTGAGTGGTGTTGACCCTGCTGTGGGGGAGGGGAGGGATCAAGAGGTCGTCTTTGGGAGGTGGCAGAACAGAGAATCAAGTGTCATGTGTGCAACAAACAAGCCAGCATCTTGGCTGCTGGCCTGGAGGTGCGAGACCACCCACAGGGCCCGCCCGCCCAGGAGGAGCTGCTCCTGCCTGGTAACAGTTTCAGCCTGGGCTGCTGCTGGCAGAACAATGCAATCCTGTAGCAGTCTGGGGCCTGAGACTAAACAGTCCCGCCAACACTTCTGACAGCCCAGGAGGCTCCCACCCTGGGGTTTTGTTATCATAATGAGATGCAGAGCCCACAGACCCGGGCTCTTTTAATGTGTATGCCTCTTCTCTTCTCTTGTTTAGAGATCTGAGCGAGAACCAGATCCAGGGGATCCCAAGGAAGGCGTTCCGAGGCATTGCTGACGTGAAGAACCTGTAAGTGTTCCGTTTGCTTACTTTGCTGCTGCACATGTGGCGAGCTTGGCTCTGGGGCCAGGGCAGGGGTGCAGATCGAGACAGGAGAGAGGACCAGGCACCTTCAGAGGTCAGCCTGAGGGCCGTCCCTAGGTGATTGCCAGGGCCCAGAGCCTGATGTCTTAGCCTGGCCCTAAAGCTTAGCTGGTGGCCTGCATGTCAGTGTTCCACAGCATCACCCTTGTCTTTTGTCATCAGGGGATTGCTAGCCTTGGGAGAGTGTTAGGTACAGCTGAGAAAATGTTTTCTGAATGGCTTCATTCTTGGTAAGTGTACAGGGAGTTGGCGACATGAGGATGCTCATAAAGATCTCCCTGTGGTCCCCTGTGTGGGGACTGGGAGGCCAGGGCCTGGGCAGGAAGCAACCACATCCACCTCGCCTGCATAAGGGGGTTCTCCATCCCCCTCTAAGCTCACCCCGCCCTCCCACCCCGGCTTGTTGTTTTCTGCTTCTGATTTAAAGATCATTTTTGATTCCTAGAATGCTTCAAAAATGGCTAGACAGGCTCCTGTAGCAGTTTCCCCCAATGGTAAGGTCTTATGTGATTGTAGAACAATCTCAACACCAGGAAACTGATGTTGGTGGGATCCACCCTGTTCTGCAGCTGTCACTCTTCCACGTGCACGCATGTGTGCAGTTTTGTCATGAACAGGTTCGCGTAGCTATCACCACAGTCAAGTGGTAACAGGGCTTCCATCATTGTGTTTTTGAACTTGTAATATAACCTTGGTCCTTTCCTACCTGGTTCGCTGGGCCCTGGGCCTAGCAACGGACACTTCTATGGAGGCACAAAGAACCCTGCCCATGGGTTCAGAGTGTGCTTTTGGGGAAAGCACAGTGGAAAGTATGGTCTGACCAAGCTGTGCAGCCTCATCTGCAGCCTCAAACTCAACTTGAAAAGTTTTGAAGGAGGCTTTAAAACTATAATAATCAAAGCTACATTTAGCTGTCACTTTCCCCCAGGGTTTTAGTTTCCTGGCATCCTGAAGGAAACCTGATGCTGGCTTGCAGGTGCAGATTATCTACCTCCCTCATGCAGGAGGGCATCTCCTGGACTGGAACAGAATGAACTGTGCAAGTGATGGTGGGCAAGGTGGCTGCCTGCTGCTTCCTCTGGAGTGTTTGCACCAAAGTGGAAGAGGGCGAGGTAGAGTAGACCCAGGCACTAAAAGGATGTTACTCTTTGCAGAACAGGTGTAGGCCTTTCGTGTGCAGTAACTTCCTGACTCTAGAGAGCTCTCTGAGAACGCAAGATCTGGGCCGACTTAACCCTCTTGGCCACTAAGAGCTAGTGAAGGAATACCCTCACACTCTTAGATGACATTTGTAACATCCCAGCATGAGCATGTTACATTTTGTTCCTTGGATTCCGAGTACTGCACATGTGGACTCAGATGAGCAGGCTGGATTAATTGTCAGTGTACCAGGGCATAGGGGACGTAGAGGCCAAGAGAGGGGCTGTGGCTGACTTAAGATCAACCAGCTTCCTGATGACCAAACCCCAAATGAATGTTTCACATCTGTCAAGTGAGAACTCTGTTCAGATCCCACGACACTGGTTTTACATGGACCAATTAACAGAAAGTCCAAGCAAGGCTGTGTAACTGGCAGCTGCAGGTCTGACTTTTGAGAAAAAGAGAAAACTTCATGATCGTGAGGATTGTGTGATTCAATAGCTGCTAGAATTCCTTGCACTTTTTCCCTCTTGGGGTTCCTTTAACCATGCAAAGAGTCCAGGAGCTAAATGGCTCAGGATTCTACACATCCACAATCCTCAACAGCAACTAACTGTTTGGCTAACCTGCCCTAGGCCACACAGGATCAGACTCAGGACCCCCTGCCCAGTGTCCCTGGGTATGGGAGTCTTTTGGATGTCTGGGTTTTGGGCAACGTTTGCATGCACGTGATGAAATATCTTGGGGAAGGGATTCAAATGTAAACATGAAACTGATTGGTGTTTCAGGCACACCTTATCAGTGTGACCTGGAGATAATTTTGTATGGTATTTTCAATGAAACAAAGTTTCGCGGTGTGGAATCCTCTGTGTGCGGTGTCACAAAGTTTCAGGGGTTGAAACGTTTTGGAGTTTTGAAATAGAGATGCTCAACCTGTGTGTATGGCCAGGAGCCTGAACTGAGTGAGCTGTTCTCTTTTTGTGCATGCCCATTGTGTAGTCCAGGGGAAAGAAAGGAGGATTGTAAATTCACTGCTAAAGGGTTAATGAACCACAGCAGTTGCCGAAGGATGGGACACTTCCCTCTTCCCATCTGCTCAGTAGGAGCATCTTACAGGGCAGAACCTGTGGGGCCCCAGTGGTGTTCTCTGATGGTTACACTATAACTGGGGACAAAAAAAAATGCCAACCTGTACACCCACAGGATTCTTTCATGAAATACTAGTTAGCATGGAAGCTGGTAGGTAAGTGGCTACAAATAGTGGGGAGTTGTCACTGCTTAGAGAAAGAAAAATAGCTCTCGGCGGTGGTGCAGCCCAAAGGTTAGAAACATGGCTTTGGCAGACGGCTAGAATTATGTATGAAGTCCATCTGTTGTAAGGCACTGAGACAGTGACCTTAGGTGTATCACGTGGTTCTCACAGCCTTGATTTCCATCCCTGTAGAGTGAGGCTAGTAACTGCGCTAACCTCCCAGGATGTTTGTGAAGGTTAATAAAATCATATATGTGAATAACTTAGGACTGTGCTTGATACATTGAAGGTTTTGAGGAAGTTTTAGTTGCTGTATTCCTCTGTTGCCGTTAGCATGGTGAGGATTTCAGCTGGGCCCTGCGATGATTGGGATTCAGAGGGTTAGCAGTGTGTCCATAGAAAGGATGTGAAACTCTATCAGGTGAACTTCAAAGGACATCTACTGAGACACCTTGTGGGGGTGGAGGAATGTGGAGGCAGAATGTGGAGGAGAGGTGTGGCTAGACATCGAAGAACAGACTTTAGAGAGAGCTACTGAAGATAGGGGTGCCTTCCAACCTGGCACATTTCATAATGCAAATCTTTCTTCTGGAAGAGGAAGTCAGGATAGGAGGAGGAAATGGGTTGTTGGCAAGAGGTGAGGCTGCAGTCCTACCTGGGAGATCCTCCTCTCACTTGGGAGAGAAGTGAACGCGACCCAAGGGAGCAGCTGGTGGGAACAGGGCTGCAGAGCTTGGCGACCAGAGATCGTTAGAGACCAGAAGTGGGAAGAGAAGCCTAATGATGAGATGCAAGCCTAGACAATAGGAAGACCAAGGGCAGGTTCTCGTGGTCATACGTCCATACATCCACCAAAATATGTTCTGAAGGGTGGGCCTTCAGCCCAGCAGTGAAGACTTAAATGTTCCCTATTGGAGCGCCTGAATTTCGCTCTCCACCCTAGCTCCTAGGAAGTAGCAGCCATGGCTCAAATAATCGAATTCTTGGCTCATGATTTTAGCCTGGGCCTGCCTCTGGCTATTGGAGACATTTAGAGGGTGAACTAGTAATGTCCCCCACCTCTCAGTCTCTCAACTTCTTCCTTAATCCCTTTCTCAATTAGATATTCTTATAAAAATATTATTTTTTGAGGTCTTGGGGGGAAAACAATATAATATACTCAAGTATAGAAGTATGATTTATGCCTTTTTAGAGCTTTCACTTCATGGAGATGGAAAGGTCAGGAAAGAGCCAGAAAGATCTGGAACTGGGTTTTAATCGTGTTGGAGGTGACGTGATCTAACATCTCCAATGGGCAAGGTGCACAAAGCATTTTCTCTGTCATAGCAAATAGAAAATCTAACTTCAATCTTAGTCTTGCTACTTGAGGGACTCTTCCTAAAACCAGACTCTGTCCCCAGGGCCTTGGCTTCCTTGGGCTTTAGGGGGAGTTAGATCCAATAGCCTGTTGCCCTAAGGCAGTGGTTATTTGAAGATCTTAGACCAGAGCTGAGGAGTACATTCCTAGAGCGTTAGCAGCCGGGCAGAGGTGATATTGAACTTGTGCATTTAAATATGTGTTGATCCAGGGGAATTAGAGACACTTGGCAGAAATGAAGTTTGTGTAAAACCTGTTGAGGAGGCAAACACACCGAATACCAGACTTCAATTATCCACAGGAAAATTGCCTACCTTGCAAATGATGAACAGCAAATTGGAAATCTCAGTAGGCACCTCCTTACAGTCAGTCTGTTGGTGAGCCATCACCCAGCCCCCTTACCGCCTGCATTATGTTGCATGAGTTCCAAGAATATGATGCTGTTTTACTCTTTCCTTAAGTGAAATAGGAGTGAAAGATAAACTATCAAACAACAGTATCAGGCTTCAAACTCAATGATATGTGAAATGACAACCAATTGGACCTGTTCTTCACACCTTAGGCTTTATTACAAAAAAGTCAAGGATGTTTTATAAATAATTGTGTTGTTGTGACATGTATTTTCTTTGCCTCTTTTGTCTTTTCCTTGTCCTCACATTTTTTTTTTGAGAAAGGAGATCATGATGCCATTTCCCAGCTGGTAGAATTAAGTTTCCATCACTGTAAGTGAGCAGGCAAAGTTTGGCCCAGGCTTCCCCACTCTGGGTACCATGAATCACACGCCTACCCATCTTGTGCACTCTACCCTTAAACATTGTTGCTGCCCACACAGGTTCCTCCCCATATAGCAGTGACAGCAACAGGACCAGGCTTCTAGAGACAGACTGGATCAGCTAAAATGGGACAGCAAGCACGTATGTTTTGTTACAGCTAACAGAAAGGACGCTGGCAGTGCCTGAACCCTGTGTCACTCGGGAGTTGGTGGGATATGCCTCCTAAGGAAAGCACTTGGCACCGTGTTCGCCAGGCAGTGGAAGGAAACCCCTAATTGTTGCCTTCTCCTTTAGAGAAGACAGAGGGATTAGCCGGGGATGTGTTCCAGTGCAATTACCGAAAGCGGGTGTTTGTGGGCCAGTCCCAGTTTCTGCAGCCTGTCTGCAAGGCAGGAGGCACTAT